TACCCACCACAGAGCGTCTGAGATGCAGGGAGTGGCCCTGACTAGAGGCAGGGAGTGAAGCTGAGGTGTTGGGGGGGGGGAGGGTGACCATATGGCAGTTTTCTATTAATATTGTGCATGGCTCAGTTTCCCCTATGTGCTGCATGGCTAATGAGGGGGTGGGAAAAGATTGTTTAGCCTTTGCAAAGACCCAGATATCGGGTGTGGCTGATGCCTAGCGGCCTGGGGCATGGGGCCCCATGCCCATGAAGAGCCCCACAAGACAATGGTCACTCAAATTTCCTGGACATTTCATGTCTAGGAGCTAACGACCATGGATGGCCCACCCTCTGCAGGAAGGCAGTGCGGTGTGTCCAGATGGAGAACAAAGGGCTAAGGAGAAGGGTCAGGTGACAAGGTTTCCTCGGTAACAAGAACAAAGGACTGAGGAGGAGCCAGGTGGGGTTCCTGACTGTGAGCTGCTGGAAGGAGAAGACGCTCAGGGACTGGGACTACAGAGTGGTGGGAGGACTCTGGACTGACCCAGATGGACTTTGCTGTAACTTTCTGTTCTCGACAGTAACTAAGGACTTTCTACGCTGGTTCCGAAATAGCCAATAAACCTCCTGCTGTTACCGCACTCGCTGAGAGTCACTGCAGTTTAAGGAAGGTGGGGGCGCGTTGCTCCCTTTGGGTGTGCCAGTGTGTGCAATGAGGTGGTGTCGCTGCGGGGAGCTCGAGGCGTGACCCAGGGGTGCTGAAGGCTCCAAGGTTCAGTCCCAGGAGACGCTGCAGCCAAATGGCTCCTAGTGAGACTGTGACCCTACGGGGGCTGACACATGGACGGGGCCCTCCCAGGGACTGCTCCAGAGCGGCTCTAGAGCACCTGAGGCTCTGTCACAGGGTGGGCGTCAGATCCCTAGAGACTCTCCCATCAAACAGCAGGAAAAACAGGGGCTCACCTGTCACTGTGATGGAGACAGAGCTGCTGTTCCATGATGAGATCTCTCGATTGGATTCCCATCTCCAGTACGCACAGGTGTATGTCCCAGCATTTCCCTTCGCAGCTGTGAGCTCTAGCCGGGCGCCTTCATTCGGGTGTTGTACTACGCTGGGAT